CCTTTTGGATCAACTCCTCCAAGTCTCATCTCCTTCTCCAGCCCGTAAGCAAGCTATTCAACTACTCACCTGTTAAAGACTCTTACTGGAAAAATCTGCCCATTACTCACCTTTGCATCAACTCTGTTTCAGGTCCCGTCCCCAGAATTCAGCACCCGTGTAAATAAAATCACTTACCTTTTTTACTCTCTGTCTCAGTCTCTGTTTGTTGTTAGTATTTGCTCACGTTGACCTCCTCCCGACAACCTGATAGAATGCTTCAGCCAAGACAGATGTCCGTGAGCAATACTACTAACAATCAGATGCTTGGAGCCATAAATCAACACGAATCAAAAATAATTGATCATGACCAAAAGCTTAATCAGTTATATTTAGCACAACAGGAAACCAGAACTTCTTTAGATCAGATCACCCAACATATCACTGCTCTCAACAGTAAATTAAATACCATTGTTTCTATTAATCCTGTCGTACCTCCAGCTACCACGCCCCCTTCATCCCCACCTGTTATGCTTACTAGAGAACCAGACATCTGACCTTCTGAGTTTTTTGAGGGGGACATAAATCAGTGTGCCGGGTTTTTGCTCCAGTGTCGGCTAGCATTTGCTCGTTCCCCGTCATTTTTTCCTACTCACTCATCTAGAGTAACATATATTGTTTCTGCTTTAAAGGGGAAAGCCCTCAGATGGGCTCAAGCTTTTCTGTCCGCCCATTCCTCTGACACTCTCACCTGTCAGCTGTTCATTCAAGAATTCCAACGTGTGTTTGACCATCCCCTCCAGCAGGAGGAGGCAGCGAAGCGGCTAATCAATCTCCGACAAGGTAATAAGTCCGCAGCTGAACACTCTGTGGATTTTCGAATTATTGCCGAGGAGGCTGGCTGGGAGGAACTCGCTTTAAAAGGTATCTATGTAAATTAATTATCGGAGCAGCTAAAAGATCAATTGGCTTCCCGGGACGAACCCGGAAGTCTTGATGAATTAATCGCTTTATCCATACGTATTGATAACAGACTAAAAGAACGAAGGAAAGAGAGGAACTACACTTCCCAGAATCCCCGGGTCTCCGCTCCCCTCATCAGTGGTGAATTTCCGCCTTCTCACGCTACAGCTGCTGCTAATTCCGCCGAACCTATGCAGATTGGATGCACACGTTTGACTCCAGAGGAAAGACAAAGACGGTTTGCTGCTAAATTATGCATTTACTGTGGCAACAAGGGACATTTCGTCGCCACCTTTCCACTGCGGGGAAACGGGCCATCTCGTCAGTAGATCAGGGGAATCTGACGAGACAAGACAATTTTTCCCCTAACTCTCTGTTCTTCCTCCCTGCTACGGTAGTTTGTGGGCAGACCAAACTACCGATTTCGGCCCTTGTGGACTCTGGTGCCGAACAGAACTTGATCTCAAGTGATTTAGTGGAACAACTGGAAATCCTTACATCACCGCTCGATCTTCCACGCTCCATCGCCGGCGTCACAGGACAACTCTTGTCCCAGGTGAAAAGATTCGTCCCCAGTGTACACGTTATTGTGTCAGGAAACCAACATGACTTGGGTGAGTTTGTTGTTTTTGATTCCACTTCTCCACAAATTATTTTTGGTTTTCCGTGGCTGTCCCTGCATAACTCAGTCATTAATTGGAAGGAAAAGAGGGTTGAGAGCTGGAGTTATCATGATTTGGCCCCCGTTTTCAGTAAAAGCAAGGCTTTCATTACCTCCCCATAGACTATACGACTGTGCCATAGAGTTAACACCAGGTTCAGCATTACCTTCTAGTCGCCTCTATAATCTCATCGGTCCCAAAAAAGAGGCCATGAAGACTTACATTGATGAATCTTTAGCCTCCGGTATCATCCGCCCCTCCAAGTCTCCCCTAGGGGCAGGGTTCTTCTTTGTTGCAAAGAAGGATAAATCCCTCAGACCATGCATTGATTACAGAGGACTTAACCAGATCACAGTAAAAAACAAATACCCTTTACCCCTGCTGGATTCCGTTCACGATCAGCTACACACGGTCACCATCTTCACCAAACTGGATCTCCGTAATGCCTACCACCTTGTGCGGATAAAAGAAGGAGATGAGTGGAAGACGGCATTTAAAACCCACTTAGGTCACTTTGAGTACCTGGTCATGCCTTTCAGGTTAACCAACGCCCCAGCAGTGTTTCAAGCATTAATTAATGACGTACTCAGAGACTTCCTAAATGTGTGTGTGTTTGTGTACTTGGATGACATCCTCATTTTTTCCCGTGACATCCAGCAACA